AAACCATTTTAACTATTAATTGCCATTACAATATTTTTTTGTCCTTAAGTCCTTTTCTGCATTTTCAGGTTCACCCATCAGATTAGCTGGGCCTGAATCAACTCAATGCTCTGGCAGAGTTGAAGTTTATCACAATAACATCTGGGGAACAGTCTGTGATGATGGCTGGGACTTAAATGATGCTGAGGTGGTTTGCAGAGAGTTAAAATGTGGACCGGCACTACAGGCTCCCCAGTTTGCTTACTTTGGTCAAGGAACTGGACAGATTTGGCTTGATGAAGTGACCTGTTCAGGAAATGAAAACTTTCTAACTGGGTGTCAGTTCAGTGGATTTGGAGCACACAACTGTAAACATTCTCAGGATGCTGGTGTCATTTGTTCAGGTAAGATATATTTTTTTGGTCATTCACAAGATGTCAAATACTCTCCCAGCTTTTTCCTCTTGGTCCTGTTCACCTTTTGTATCTAGTGTCTGCGTCTTCCCCTGCTTGTTGTCGCGTCATCTCTCATTCTACACTGTGTGTTCTGTCTGTCAGCCTGCCTGCATAGTTTATTTATATTTTCAGTTTAATTATTTTGGTATCCAGCAATAAAGCTGTTTGAGTGTACTTTTTCATCTCCTGGAGTCTGTACTTTGGGTCCACTATTTCTGCCTCCCGCACACAGTTCATGACACTTAATCTCTTTGAGTGCAAACTTTACTTTAATGCATTTGATGACTTATTTCTGTGATGCATTTCCAAAGAAGACGAGTTCTGTTGGTGCCAGCAGAAAAATATTACTTTCAAATCTGAAACTTAGCATCTGCTTTGAATTGAGATACAGGAAAGTGACCTTAAAGGAAGGAAATTATATTTCCATGTGGTTTGCATAATGGAAGACAAACCATATGGAAATATACCATACCCAACCTTTCTTGTCCTCAGAGAGTTTTTCTTTATCTCTCCCAAAGTTAGAAATTAAGTTTAAACTACAGGGTGGGCCATTTATATGAATACACCGTAATAACATGGGAATGGTTGGTGATATTAAAGTCCTGTTTGTGGCACATTAGTATATGTGAGGGGGCAAACTCCT